AGCATCTTAGGGCATTTTAAAGACCAATGCATTTATTATGGCATAAATGTTTCTAGATTACTTCAACTTGAATCTACAACACCTAATTCTTCAAAGAAAAGCCACTGAGGCCTTCAAGATTACAAATGTTCTTCTTCTCTTAAAGAAGCTTAGTAAGAAAAAATAAAAATAAAGAGTCCCTCATATAACCCTCAAGGCTTTCCCCCTTTTATAGCTTGCAATTAGTCTGGGTGACGTCTTCTTGGATTTCTTCATTCCCTTCCTAATCTGTGAAGTGCATTCTACTGGGACATCTATAAATATATTTATTAAGTATTTTCTGAACATCCTAAGTTTGACTTTGAGGTCTCATAGACATATTTCTCAATGTCACCAATGCCAACACTCACAAGAGATACCTTCTTCCATTCCCCCACTCTCTGCTAGCCTGCTCACAGGCAATTAATGCCTATAGTCCTTGTACCTGACAACCAAGCAAAATATAGTCAATGCATCTCTCTCTATTCTTATTTATTCAATCTCCTACTATGATGAGAGCTCACTTACCCACAGATGGGATAGTCTTTCTTCACTTAAGAAATTTTCCCTTTTAAAGTGTTTTATTTTCCTCTTACTTAGGATGGTGCCTCCTGTCCAAAGAGCCTAATTTATTGCACACTGGCTCCCCAGAACAACATTCCATGCTGATAACTTTCCATGAGTGATGTTTACATCTTCTCCAAGAGAAGAGTAGTGAAACTGATTTCTTGACTGGGGGCTATGAGGGCTAAAAATTTTGGAAAAATTTAAGTATCTGGCACAGACCCTTTATTCAAGAAGCTTTCTTTCTAACTAACTTGACATTCTCAGGACAAATGGGAAAATAATCAATTTTACTTGCAAAGGAGGTACCTCAAATAAAAGACAACTCCCAGGAATGGATTTGTTTACAGTATTATTCATCACATACCCGCAATGGGATCCCAGGTGAGTGAAGAAATAGAGACAGAAAAAGAGTTTACCTGGAGAGCTAGGTGTATAGATGGTTTTATCTGTCTGAAGGAACAGAAAGCCACTCTGGAAAGACACTAAAACCACCTTTTCCAGAAACAGCTGAGGACCAGTTACTTGTACAAACACATACTGATTTTGCTTGGAGTCCTTATTCAGTTCTTTTGCAGGAATCTGCATGACAAGATGAGGTGGAGCAGAGGTCTCAAACTCAAATCATCACCAAGGGCCACTTGAGGCCATGCTCCTTAGCCCTAGGCCACAACACTGAAACCTTTTCCTACTGAGCCAAAAATCTCTACTGAGTCAAAAATGATAAAAAGAGGATCACAGAGTGCTATTAAACATAGATGTATTACATTTTTAAAACTTGCTGCTTGTTTCTCCTAAGGAAGTCTGTGATCTTTCTGGGAAGAAGGCTGTGGAAAGACCCTGTAGAGTCCAGCTAAAGCAGCCCAGCCCATGAAACTAATGCAGAACATAACCCAGAGATCTTGCCTTGCCACTGTCCTATACAAGCCACACATGTTGCCCTTTGTCCACTGCAGTGTACCCACAAAGCCCATCTTCTTTTCCCTGGCCTTGCTATACAAGCCACTTTTCCCTCCTGCTTTACCCACCAAGAAAACTCAACACCCAATTTCAAGTTCAAAACAAGTGGCAGGAGAAGTGAGGGAACCATCACTAACTTTCCTGGTTTGACCATCTCAGTTCCTGGAAAACCTTGAATCCAAACCTATCAAAATGCCTTCCAGGCTGCCTATTTGTAGCTCTACAATCATATGAGAGCTGCTCTCTTTTCCCCTTCTCATTTTCCATTGGGCAATTATTGGATCTATCTATCTATCTATCTATCTATCTATCTATCTATCTATCTATCTATCTATCT